AGGTTGCTCACGTCATCAAGCTTAGTTTGAGTCGGTCTGAGTCTGCGCGTCAGGAACGGAAGTGCTCAAAAATCGCTAAAAGTGGGCTTCAACTGTCTCAACTGAGTTCCAATGAGATGGCTCTGTCCATTTCTTTTACTGTCTATGGTTTAAATCTATCATGAAAAAACAAATGTATTAACAGTGTAACAAAAAAATAGCCTACATTCTTAATGTCTTTTTCTTCAAATTCCTTTTTTCTTTTTTACTCAGTTCTGTGCTTTCTGTTTTATTTTGTCTATATGGTTTAACCAAAAACATGTCTAAATAATTGAATTCATATAAAAACAAAGTAATAACAGTTTGGCCCTATGAAATGTTTTTTTTTAAAGAAATTCTGTATTGTGTATTTCAATTTGTCTGGTAATCAAATGATGGCATAAAATATTAATTTATCTTTTATTCAAATGAAAATTAAACGAGCCTTTTAATTGTGTGTAGCAAACAAGTGCTACACAACAGAGGCTTACTGTTAAAATTATAACATGGAAGAAAATGTGTTTTAGCAATAATTGTACTATAGTATTACAATAAGATGTACATTATACTGTACAAGAGTAATATATTTCTATCGCAGTTTCTTTAAGTCAAACCAAACTTTTATTTTGGAAACCCGTCAAATACAAAACAAACCCCTTCTTCTGTTTGTTTTTTTATTAATGCCAAAAGAAAGAAAATGTAACAAATACATAACAACAGTAACAATAAAACCCAGGACATATGTCACGAAAACAGTACAAATAAAAATAACATAAAGCCAGAGGGGATGAAAAAACAAACATTATACAAGGTTAAACATTGAAAGTTGACTTTTTTATGCCCATCAAAGAGTTATAGTCTACCAGAAAAATTGACAGTGGTGGGATCTTACCCAAGAATTTGCATTTGTGAATAAAAAATTTGCCAAGTATCATAAACAAATTAACAATGTACTGGAAACACAAATTTGAATTGTGGTAAAGAAAATAATATTAAAGGTGTTAATACATATTCTGACATCTGTTTTTTGCTGAGAGAGATAGGTTCATAACTCATTCCAAAAAGCTTCAACACAAACACATTCACAAGAAGATGTACAATTGTCTCTTCTACATCACAGAAAGAGCATTTATTTTCAATGTTTTGGATATACTTATTGAGTGCACTATAACAAGGGTAGCATCTATGCAATATTTTTTAAATGTAATTTCTTTGATTTTGTTTGTTAAAAGATATTTGTGTGGAAGAGACCAGACAAGACTCCAATTAACATTGTATAACGTTGTCATCCATTTGAAAGATGATGCTGGAATAGATTTTCTGTTAAAATTGAATTTGTCATCAGCAATCAAACTTGACAATTTTGAAATAGAAGTCTTATACAAAGAAATAGGACTATAGGTTTGCTCTCCTTTCAAGAGAGTTTTTATAACATTAGGAATGACGTTGAATACAATATTTTATTCATTTAATGAAGCCCCAAAATCAAAAACAATTTTGTGGAGAATTCTGAAACGGAATAAAACTGACAATTGTCGTCCATCAGCTGATTAACAATATAAATGTTATTTAAATACCATCTCTCAAAAAATATTGATTTATTTATGTAAATAATATTCTGATTGTTCCAAATAAAACAATGGTGAGGTGAAAAATTATGTTTGTAAACCATTAACCACGATAATAAAAACCTGTTGGGGACATTTTGCTAATTTAATGGGTCGTTTTCCAAGTGAGAAGGGGCACTGTAACAAAAATTCAATATCTCCAATTTTCCTAAAAACAAAATTAGGAAATATGTTCCATATGAAGTCTGTTTTTTTTTAACAAATCTTTTTAACCAATTTACTTTTAGCACATGGTTAAATAGGGTAAAGTCAACAACTCCAAGACCTCCATCACTAACCTTATTTCTTAGAACCTCCTTTTTAATTTTGTGTGATTTATTTTTCCATATGAAATTTAAGGAACATATCTAATAAGGAACATAATGGCTTGGGACAGTCCATTACAGAAAAGTAAACTGGTGTTTTCCTTGATGCCTCGCCACAGCCAATCACCAGCACTTGATTTGTGCACATCATACATGATGCATGCTGATTGTTTCACTGACGTTGACAAGATTAACCCCTCAGGTATCCAAATTTGGTACCGAACATCAAGACAATTTTTGGTACTCAATAGTATCGAGATACTACAATGGTATCGAGGCAATTCGGTCGGTGCCTAAAAAGTATGGAAGTCGATACCCAGCAACCCTAATACAGATTGGTCATATATGAGGCGCTATATAGATAAAGATGACTTGTCTTAACTTGACTTTTAAAACAAAGCAAATGAAGCTGTGATGACTTGATGACTTGTTTCCAGTCTTCAGTCTCTCATGTTCTTGCTCAGACGTGGACAGGCTCTCATCTCTCTGGTGTGGCGGCTTGAGTTCCTGTCAGGTTGGGGTTGGACTTCAGGCTTCGGGTCGAGTCTCCAGCTCAACCCCTCCACCAGGACAGCAAGTGTGTTCTTTACTATCCAATACACAGATTACATGAACAAGTCAGCTCATGAATGATATTTTAAGAGCTGTTTTACAACAGATTTGAATTCTATTTGCACTGATTCTGTTATTTTCCTGTCTACCGTGAAGCCGCTTTGAAACAATCTGTATTGTACAAAGCGCTATATAAATGAAGGTGACTTGACTATAACAAGAACATTACAATGAACACAAATTTGAAAATCTCACTACAAACAATCCAGAGCTGAAGACAAATGATAATAAGCCTACTCTGTCTGTTACACTTCCTTAGGAAAATTGGGGAAAAAACAATTAGATCCTGTTGATTTGGAGAGTACAAGATGCTTAGCGTCTCTTAGGATACATATTGAAAGAGTTATAGGGGTTCTGCGTCTGAAATACACAACTTTGCAAAGCATTATCCCCATAGTTTTCACTGACATTGACAGAGAAAATGATATGACATACCTTGACAAAATGGTGAAAGTATGTTGTGCTCTTACAAATGTAACTGACAGTAGATGTGTAACTGAGCTAAATAAACCTATTTCTTTTATACATTTCTTGTTGCTTGTGACATTCATTTGAAAGATATACTGATGTTTTATAAGTTTTATTTATTGGTGTTTTATTTATTTGAATTTATACACTGCTGAACAGACAGAAAAACCAGTACATGAGAGAAGGAGAGGAAGGAAGATGGAGGGATACATAACAGGGGCCATTAACTCTTTCAAATCCTCTCACCACTCATTTTTCATTTCTTTTTTGTGAATTTATCATTTTTCTGCAGCTGGGACATACCCACTGTTTAGGAATTCTTTTAATGCGAAGGCAAGATTGGTGAAACTTTTTAACTGAACAAAAACCTGATGCACAGACCAACATGTCCCCTACTTCGGGCTCACGACAGTAGCACCACTGTTGACCATCATCAAATGCTGCAGCTGGTTTTGGAGCAGAAAAATACTTGCCAATCAGCTCTGGCATGATGCATTTCTTAAAAAAGTTTGTAGCACAAGCCAATTCTTTGTCAAAAAATGGCACATCTGGTTTCACTCGTTCCACAAAAGGTGAAGTACTGTCCCTCTCAGTCCAAAATCACAATAAGGTTTGTCAGTAACAGATAACTGCATTTGTACTTGATAATAATAGGCATGGTCCCGCTTCAGTCTGATGCTTCCACACTCATTGTTTTCAAGGCAAAAGTTTGGAACAGAGTTTGCCGCCTCGTTTACAGAGAGGTCCTTGGCTCTAAATACGGCTAAATACGGTTAAATGGCTGAAATACGGTATATATTTATAAATAAATATATTTCATTTTTGGGTGAACTATCCCTTTAACTTCTTTTACCTGGAGTGTTCAAAGCCATTAATAATGCTGACCAATATGCCACAAGAAATGAACTGGCGATAGTAGGAATACTCTCCACAAACACTTGGTGACACCAAGTTCATTTTAAGAGATTAAATTGTAGATTAATTTTAAGCATACTATATGCCTGTGGTGAAGAGTGTAACAGGAACTTGAGAGTTTCTCTGATTCTTTTTGTTGTTTTTTTTGTTTTTGTTTTCAGACTACATCCAAAATAGTGTTTCCACATCGGAGAAAAAGGCAGTTATAAGAACCAAGTGAATAACGTGGATGCTCTTCAAAAAACGAAACCTCTCTGAATAATGTGGGAGAAGAAATACACATGATTGTATGAGTTGTAAATAAACACTTAACTCTCAGCCTGTTATTTGAAGTAAAAAAAAGAAAGAAAAGTAAAGTAAAATCACATTTATTGTTGCATTGCAGTTGTTGTTTTGTACCTTAATTCATTATATTGCAGATGTGTGAAAATAAAACTTATTCTGGATATTCTGGTTGTGTTTCAAAGGTATTACACAGCATTTTATTATTGCACTTCGGTATTATGTAGGCCTAATTGTACTTTAGTTGTAGGCTATTATGTATTGCAGTAGCCTATACCGCAGTTATATTGCAGGATTATCAGCTGTATTGCAGTAATACTTCAGCTGTAATGCAGTTGTATTGCAGTTGAATAGTAGGCTACTTAATATGTATTGCAGTAAATCTGCAGTTGCACTCCAGTAAAACTAAAGACATCATTATAGGCTACTGCAATATTGCCGTTTTTCGTGTCCAAAAATTTGCATTTTTCTGCATGTAACAAAAACTAGGCTAATCTTTTGTAAGGGTAAGCTAAACGATGACATCCGGACCCGGTTTATTTTTAGGTCAACTATCCCTTTATTATCTCTATGCGTGTGCAGGGACAAAGCTTTCTCCTTTCATTCCTTCTTTCATTTGTTGTGTTAAAATAAAACGAAACGTTAAATTAAACCAACAACCGCCCACTTAGACCCAGAGCCAGAGATAAATGGCTCAGACCGGAAGAAATCACGTGACCGACATGTAAAGCGACCAATCACGGTTCGCTTTTAAAACTACTGTTCGTTTTTAGGGGCGGGTAAATCTGAAATCGCTGATAATAATGGCTCAGGAGTCTCCGCGAAACGTTGTACAGGCCAAACCGAAGAAAGTGGAAAATGGCTGTTTGCTTTGTGGTAGGGACTTCTATCCAACCAAATGTAATAAGCATCGACTCTATCACGGACACAAGTCTGAAAACAAAGCGGAACATACGGTTGTGTTGGAGGAATTAGTTGGCAAACTTCAGGACACGACTCTGGCCGTCTGCGGCATATGCAGAACTCTCTTATTAAGGTACGATCGCGTGTCCAAAGACGCAGAGAGAATACAATGGCTTATTAAGGATACGTGGAAGAAGACGAGAGAGAAACGATGTGCGGAGTCAACTCCTTCACTGGAAGTGAAGAGACGACGAGAACTGATGGACACAGCAGCATATGATGAAGACAACAACATTGCATCCATCCCACTACATTCCACTGACACCGCTGCAGCAGCAAAGGTAAAACGTTCTTTATCTGATCTCTCTAGAAACACTACGACCAATGATCACTTGTATTTTAGGACAAAATACTATCTGCTTTAAATAAGACTATTTTGAATTTACTGTGTTGTTGTTGTTTTGTTTTAGTTTTATCTGACGCCATATAAAACCCAAACGCCATAAAAAAAATGCTAAGAAAGAAAACTTTCTGGAAATATTGCTGTAAAACGTTGTGGTAACGTTAATGTATTACGTGAAAAAAACGTTTTTTTTGTATTATTATATTTACGGTCTAAATTACGTGTTGTTGTTTTTTTTTTTAGATGATTCGTGTTTTCAACAAACTGAACTGGGACATAATTACAATAAATAGCCTACCCTTAAAAAATCTGTAACGAGGGAATAAAACTTAAACTGATAATATTGCACGTCGTGTTAAGGGACCATGTGATCCCACTCAACAATTTGATCTTACCATGAGCTCCCAGGATACTCATGATGTGGTCACAATGTGAGGTCACAGTGAGCTCAAAGGCCCAATCCCAAATGGCACACTTCATGTGCACTTTCGTTCTTGTGGACTTACAATGGCTGCCGCGTGCGCGTGTCCGTTAAGTCCGTGAGACCGTAGTGTGTCCCATTTGTCATTTTTAGATCTCAGAAGGGTGCTCGCGAGCGCCGCGTGCGGTCGATTTGCGCCCTTGATGCGCACTTTTGCCGAGCCCGTGCTGCTGATGCGGACTCCACAGCAGACTTCTTCCCGACAGTCAAAGCGGCATTACGTTACGAAAGTGCGGACTCAGAGGAAGACCGCGAGTGCTTAGGGTTCCATTTGGGACAGGGCCAAAGTGTAACTTCACAGCGCACTCACTGTGTGCTCATACTGGGAGCTCGCCATGTAAGACCACTGTGATACCATTGTGTTAAACTCTCATTCTGTTCGTTTAGTGTGAGATCACTGTGATCTCAAATGTATCTGATATTGTTCAGTTATATCACAAGAATCAAGTAGAAGTTCATATTTTATTTCCATCAACAACGTATTTCAAAAATTCAGTTTCCTTGTTTAATTTGTATTCTTTTCAGCCTGGTGTTGGCATTTGACACAAATATTTCTATTTGACGGATGCATTCAGATTCAGCAGGTGTTTTTTTGGTGACTCATTTTCACTTAACTTCTATTTATTTTTCCCCTTGAAAAGACTTGACACATCCTGAAACACAGAGAGCAATATGTCAATGCAATCAGTTGTAAAATCAGCTTGTGTGGTTACTGAAGCCAGGTGATTCCACACCTGAGCTAGCAAGATGGCTGGTTCACATGCACCTGGCCATGTGCCAGTGCTCTGTTAACACAGGGCCAGGCCACCGTGCATATTGGCATTATAATATCATATGATCATATGAACAAATCCTGCTGTATCCATGTTTTTTCAGTGTTGAGAAACAGGAAATATAACAACATCTTTAACAACATTTGAACTGCCTCCTCTCAACCTGCTCAACATTTTGAATTCACAATGAGCTCACATATTAATCACACTGTGATCAGATGGGCAGTATTTTAATTACATGTATTTGAAATACGTATTTAATTACTTTTGAGTATTTTGTAATTTGTATTTTCCTTAACAAAAATAAATGAAATGTAATTTGTAATTAAAATACTTATTTAAATATATCATTTTATTTCGCATATTAACTTTCATCACCAGGCTTAAAGGGATAGTTCACCCAATAATGAAAATTAGCCCATGATTTACTCAACCTGAAGCCATCCTAGGTGTATACTGTATGACATTCTTCTTTCAGACGAATACAATCAGAGTTATATAAAAAATGTCCTGGCTCTGCCAAGCTTTATAATGGCAGTGAATGGCTGTTTAAGTTTTGAAGTCCATCAAAGCACATCTATCCATCATAAAAGTGCATCTATACATCATAAAAGTGCTCCACACGGCTCTGGCGGGTTAATAAAGGCCTTTTGAAGCGAAGCGATGTGTTCGTGTAAGAAAAATATCCATATTTAAAACTATCGACTAAAATAACTAGCTTCCGGCAGACGGCCGTACGCATCGATTTACGGCGAAAGAGTAACACTTGACCCGACGCATGACGTAATGACGAACGCGGAAGCGCAGAGGATGGAGCAAAACAAAACACCGGTCACGAATTAGACGTCTAAAACAACAATTTGTCGGAGGAGCTTGAGTTTGTTGCCCAGCCCTCTTTGTTAAAGCTTACGCTACTCCTACATGCGTCACTGGTTACTTTTGTGGCGCAAGTCGACTTGCGTGGGCCGTCTGCCGGAAGCTAGTTATTTTAGTCGATAAAGTTTTAAATATGGATATTTTTCTTACACGAACGCATCGCTTCGCTTCAGAAGGCCTTTATTAACCCCCGGAGCCGTGTGAAGCACTTTTATGATGGATAGACGCACTTTTATGATGGATAGACGCACTTTTATGATGGATAGACGCACTTTTATGATGGATAGAGGCACTTTGATGGACTTCAAAAAATATACAGCCATTCACTGCCATTATAAAGCTTGGAAGAGCCAGGACATTTTTTTAATTTAACTCCGATTGTATTCAACTGAAAGAAGAATGTCATATACACCAAGGATGGATTGAGGGTGAGTAAATCATGGGCTAATTTTCATTTTTCGGTGAACTATCCTTAGGGCCATAGACATAAAATACAAATAGGACTAACAAATTTCACAGCCTTTCACAGTTTTTGGCAAGAAAATCACGTGATGTGACACATCCTATTGACCCTGTTCACATTTCCGGGTTTCTCAGAAGTGGAAGGCGTCATAGTTGGGTAAACTTCTATAGCAGTGAATGAGAGACTACATTAAATATATTTTTGGTGTTCCTATTTGCTCAAATAACAAAAGAAAAACGCCACAACAGCGTTTTCACAACTTTCAAAAAGAGTAAAAAAAAAAAATAGAGATAGATTGATAATGGCAGTCGGAAGAGAGAAAGATGTCAACTTTGTCACAGCCGCGGTATTAGAAACACCCTCACAGCAGCGTTAACTTGTGTAATATTATACAAATAAGTGTTATAGGCGTAATGATCTTTTATTATGACAGTATGTGGCAACATGTACATTAAAAGCGCATCTTCTGCACTAAACGATGATATTCCGATATTCTATACTCTTACATGTATCTAACTCCACACTTACTCTCACACTACACAAGACTGTAAATTCTGTTTGTATTTTGTATTTACAAATTACTTGTATTTTAATTAAATCCTTTTTTTTCACAGCAGTATTTTATTTAAATACATTTGATGAGTAAGTATTTGTAATTTGTAATTAAATACTTTTTGATGTATTTGTGCCCATCTCTGACTCTGACTATGAGAATAGTGTGATGATGTCACTGCTCAACATTTTAAATTCACAATGAGCTCACATATTAATCACACTGTGAGAATCAAAGTATGTGTTTTCACTGTGATCATCGCATGGTCTTTACGTTTTGACTGGGATGGCAAGTACCCTATGATATAAAATAATTGCTGAATCTGTTTTGATCAGGTTCTTTGACCCAAATATAAGTTTAATTTATTAGATATACAGGAGCTGAAAACAGACATTTTCATATTAACCTGTTCTGTTGATTTTTTCCAGGAGAAACTCAAAACTGCATTAAAACCACTGCAGGCAAGGCTAAGAATATTTCAGGAGTTTCAAAAGACTTCACTTCAAACTGCAGAACATATTAAGGTAAGTATTTACTATGGTATAAAGTTGTGAAGCACCCCATCTTTGTAAAATGTATGTATGTTTATGTTAGAATATAGTCATTCATTCATCCGAAATGTCAATGGTTTCAGTTTCAGGCTCAATATACAGAGAAATGGATCAAGGACGAGTTTGTGAAACTTCGCCAAAGTTTATGCAATGAAGAGGCGGCCAGGAAAAATGCACTGAAAGAGGAAGAAGAGCAAAAGAGTCAGATGATGAGGAAGAAAATTGAGGAGATGAGCAGAGAGTTGTCATCTCTTTCTGCCACAATCACAGCTATAGAGGAGGAGATGAACGCTGAAGATGCTTTATTCCTACAAGTATTAAGCATGTTTATTTACTTTACGAAAAGGCAATATGCCCTTTTTAAAAAAGTGTTAATTTATTTAATCTGTATTTCTGTTATTACAGAACTATGGGGCCACTATGAAAAGGTTTGTATTGTTTTTCCTGTTTCTCTGTTGTTCTAAGCTCAAACCTACAGCATCACTGACTCCTGAACGGTTTTCCAGAGTTTCCCAGTGTAGACTGCCGGATCCAGGGAACATTTCTGGAGTGCTGATCAATGTGCCAAAACACCTGAGTAACCTGAAGTACACTGTGTTACAGAAGATGCAGAAAAGTGTTGAATACAGTGAGTACAGAAGAACACAACAATGACATCAGCTCCATAATAAGAGTCATTTGTTTTGATTCGTGTTTGTGTGTCTTTCTCTTGCTTCAGCTCCTGTGACCTTTGACCCCAACACTGCTCACTGTAATCTCATCCTGTCTGATGATCTGACCAGTGTGACATACAGCGATGAGGAACAGACACTTCCTGATAATCCAGAGAGATTCGACATGTTTGCGTGTGTTCTTGGCTCAGAGGGCTTTGACTCGGGGTCTCACTGCTGGGATGTTGAGGTTGGAGACAGTACGGGCTGGTTCCTCGGAGTGATGAATGAATCCGCTCAAAGGAGGAATAAAATATTCTCAAGGAGTGGAATCTGGCTGGTGGGGCATTTCTGTGGTGAATATAAAGCACATCTACCACCACAATCACCAACCCTCCTCCTGGTGAAAGAGAAACTGCAGAGGATCAGAGTTCATCTGGACTGGGACAGTGGAAAACTGTCATTCTCCGACCCTCTTACTGACACACACATATACTCTTTTGCACACACATTTACTGAAAGATTATTTCCATTTTTCGGTGTTGGCTGTAATATTTCTCCTCTGCTCATCTTACCAGTAAATTTCTCAGTAAAAAAAGACTCACTTTAGATCTTAGTTTTATGTAATGCCTAATTTTATTTTTATTTTATTTTTTCATTTAATTGACTGTGCTGATGATGATGTATGTCATATATAAATAATTATACTACGGGGCCGTTGAATGCTTGAATCTGATTGGTTTATGAACGTTCTAAGGTGTGCAATTAAGAAGACGCACGGCTAAAGTAGTTCCAGGCAGGTCTTGACCGCATTACATGTGTATATCACTTTGCCAAATGATTTTAGTTATTTCAAAGGTCTTGTCAGCCTATAACAGCAAAAGAACCAAAAACTACAACGACACTAACCCAGCAAATAAACACTGTAAACAATAGGATAAAAATTACAAATAATTTCCATGTTTTTTTTGCCACATAATCTCGTTTTATTATGCATTTATTATTATTTATTATGAAAAAGCACATACTCCTGCTCTATTCCTCTCAAACGCACACACATTCAGTACGGACACACACTCGCACAGAAATGTTGTCAGCGCTGCTCTGGCAATTTTATCAGTAAAATAGTTTAACAACTTAAAAGTTGCATGATATTTCTCACTAACGGTGTAATAACGGCGCTATTACACCGGCATTGACAAAAACCTGACAAATGTCTTGAAATACATCATCTGATGAACAATGTTTTGAGGTGTGGTAACCGTAGTATAAGTGGAATAATTGACTCTGGGCTGTTGAAATATTCGAAAAATAATGCACACCCGATGTTTAACAGCCACTCCGCTTTTTCTAATAATTCAACAGTCCAGAGTCAATTATTCCTTACATAAAAGAAATGCTCAGTGACCTCTGGATGCTAAGACTATTAAAATGCATTTATGTATTTAATATTACTTTGACCTTTTAAATGCAAGAGTGTAAATGGTGGTATTTTGTGTAACTAGGTGCTTGTCCCCAAAATGCTCTGATACAATCAAGGCATGGAAATATAAATGTAAATAATTATTTTAAAGCCAAATTTGTGCAGTAGGTGGCAGTAGAGATTTTCTCAATATATTTTATTACCCATTACATGTTTTTGTTTATCAAACAAACAGCAAGTTTCACAATGCGTTTACATTATGCTTCACAGCTTGATTACAGTCAATGGGTTCATCAACCGGGGTCGTAATTTAGGATTACCGTCGTGTTCACTTTGCGTGGTTTTAGAAGCGTCAACTTTGATGGACCATACGCCTGCATTGTATGGACTTGAGATTGATTATTTTTCGTTTGAAGGTCTAATGCCTATTTTTCGTTTGAAGGTCTAATGCCTCAAGATGCAAAATATAAAACAAAATGTAAAACAGAGAACTGCTTGTGATACATATTGCTTTCAAGTGTGTGTGTGTGTGTGTGTGTGCGCGCAAATTCATAAGCTATTCATCACGTTCAGGTTAGTTGAATCAGATTTGACCTCTAATTATATCCATTAGAACGATAACAGTTTTTTAACACCAGTTGACTGAAATTCCATGATTATCATTTGTGATGACTGGATTTTTTTAATGATTTTATGTTAATATTGCACTGATAGTTATTGTAGTCATTGTTATCTAAAACTATTTAAATAGTTTTGCTAATTGAAATATTATACTGTATATATAGCTATATAGAAATATACAACTAATAAAAATAACAAGTTCATAACAATATTGTAGAAACTTAAACTAAAAACAAAAACTGAAAATAAGAAAATAATGGCTAATACAAAATATTAATAAGTACTATAATAGTATATAAATAATATTAAAATAACGCTGACTCGCAGAGAGTCATTTCTTGGTAATGAAACATTAGAGCACTTATCATTATTTTATATTCAGCAGAAAATTTTGATTTTATTCATCCAGACTTTCAATAACTGTAGACACCTTGAATAATCAGCAGCATTCTAGTTGACAGAAATCACTGATTAACGTGTTTCAAACTTGTTGCACGCTATATGAAAGTCCATCTCCTTGGTCTTACTGCCACAACGTTTCTTTTCCCACTTCTGCCTCGTATCCAACTCACTTTGTCTCAGTGGAGATCTGCAGTAGAGGGGTGCTGATCTCGCTGGACTGATAACTGCTGGTGACTTTCAGTAGGCAGCTGAGCAGCATGTCTTTGGCCCGTGCCGTCTCCATGTTCTGTTCACGGCTCAGCTGGAGGGTCATTTGGTCCAGGCTGGTCTGCAGTAGCTCAGAGGCCATGACCGGCCTTGTCGCCGTGGGTCCCTCGGTCAGGTACTCCCTGTACAGCTCCAGAAGCTTCTGTTCCAGGTAGCCGTTGAGCTGTGAGTTAGAGAGGGGCCGGCCGAACTGCAGAAGAGAGGGCCGTTCGCGTCCGCTTTCTTCCCTCCAGCGCCTCGAGCCCCTGTACTCATGGACAAGAGGAGGCAGGAGGGAGGGTGAGGGGACATCTCCAGACAGAAGAAAGGGCCCAGCCTGGGGGTCCTGAATGTGATTGCCCTGTACATCCCCTGCACTGGGGCTGAGCGGCAGCACCTGGCCACCAGCAATGTGTAAATCGTTGTAATGCTGAAAGATGCTGTGGCAGCTCGAAGGCACTAAAAATGCCTCAGCTTCTATGGTGTCTGCCTGCCTGGGGATATCCACACTTAGGGCGTGTTGCCGTCCTGCCACAGGGGCGGGAGACGAAAGGTGAGCTTCGCTCTGCTGGGTCTTTGTCCGGGTCGTATTAGCATAAGTCTCTAGAGGTGAGAGGACAGGGGTTTGTGTTGAGAGGGGATAAGTCAGCGGAGACGATGATGGTGCTGTGACCGTGTCACATGTAGGAGGATTTACACACTCGGGTTCAGCTTCGAACACCAAACACCACAGCTTACCTTCACACAGCATCTACAGTACACATACACAGAAGTTAAAGTGGACATTAGTTCACACTAAACGTTTAGAAAAGGAGTCTCAAACTCAAATGATCTACAGTTGTTTGGGGCCAGTAAAGAAATAAATAAATTCATACTTTTATTGAGCAAGGATGCATTAAATTGATCAAAAGTGACAGTAAAGACATTTACATTGTTACAAAAAAACTTTCTTTTGAGCTTTCTATTCATCGATGATTCATGAAAAAAAATGTATCACTGTTTCCACAAAAATATTAAGCACCACAAGCACAACTTTTGTCAAAATGTTTCATATTAGAATGATTTATAAAGGATCATGTGACATTATAGACTGGAGTAACGATGCTGAAAATTCAGTTTTGACATCACAGAAATAAACTGCATTTTAAAACATATTAAAATAGAAAACAGCTATTTTAAATTGTTATAACATTTCAAAATGTATTTATCCGATCAAATAAATGCAGCCTTGGTGGGCAAGAGATTTGTTTCTAAAACATATAAAAAAATCTTACAGATCCCAAACTTTTGAACAGTAGTAAAAAAAGAATAAAAATAAATGTAATTAAAACACAATATAAACTAAAACAAAATATCAAAGTCATGGGCCAGTAGTTTGAGACCCCGACAATGTAATATTATTGTCCACCTCACATCACCCAGATTACCCTAGATAGAAAGTTCCTTAAAGCTTACCTTTTTTTTCTACTGAAGAATCTCTGGCTATCTGTCTCTGAGTCTCTGCAGTATTTAAGCTCTGCTGCATAGGGTTTTATTTCATTGTAAGTGAAAGTTGTGCTATAGTTCTTCAGTTTTATGCTCCAGTAAGGGAGGAAGTGAAAGTGTTGTGTAAATTGGGAACCAAATTTTTTAGCATGCCTCTTGTCATGATACAAGCTTGTCACATTCAAATTGCTGTTTGAATTTATGTAATGTGCAATGCATGCATGACCATCACACCCAATTCTCTTTGCTGTGTTCCCCCTAGATTTGCCTATATTTTAGGAAGAGGGGGTCGTGGGTAATTTCCCTAATGGAGAGTATATTAACTTTAAATATATAAAACATAAAAGCTATAGCAGTTGTTCTGGTGGTGAATAAAAAAATTCTCTGCTAATAAGAGATGGACCATGGTCCTGTTGTGGGTATTTATTGGCACATTGTTGTAATCAGTCTTTTTTTTTTCTCTTAAACTCTCACACTTCATGCAGCTGTTATATGTTGCAGTTTCATTAGAATGAAAACTAATGTCTTTCTTCTAACATCAATGTTTGCACCTGCAGCTATTTGGATTCTTATGTAACGGTTAATCTTCATTTCCTCATTGAAACCAAATAATCCAATTCCAGTGTAATTGAAACCACTTGTGTCACGTGATGAACACACCTCTAGCACTGGTTAATCTGCGAAAGGGTTGGTGATAAAATGCTGCATCACCTACATTCATTATTCATGTGATCATCTGTCTATCTGTGGTAAAAAAGAAAGATTACCTGATAAACCAACAAACAAGTGAACAAGCACAAACTCAACACATTTCTATACTGTGTTGAGGTTTTTATCCATTCGGCTATTTCTCACAATATCATCACAGTATGCACTTAACATATAAGGCACAAAAAGAACTGTATTTTTTGCTTGTTTTTAGAGTAATGTCTGTGAATTAATCAGTACGTATTACTTTTAGACAGACAGAAATTCTGATCACAAAGTCAGTCAAATTTTCTGCCATTATAGGTGTATAGTGACCTGAGAGTGCCATGCCATATGAATAGTTTTTTGCGTATTGGTTTACTATTATTTCAAACAACAGCATGCAAAAAGCAAAAAAACTGGTAGCTTTACATGTCGTTTCCAGTCTTAGTGGGTGGTTCTTGACCAGAATAAGGTGCAGTATTAACTATTTTTTTTAAACAACCCATTAATTAAAAGGGTCAGAGAAAGGGTTAAAAATATGATATGATGAAGGGTTAAAAATGATGACTATATAATATATAACCTAAGGGAAAAAATAATAAACTCCCTCTATGGTGACCACACAGCTCCCAGAATCCACCCAATACCTCACCAGAAACTTTAGCCGTCCCGTCGTAGTGGCTCTAGCTCAAGTGTCTGACTCATTAGTTGAATATGAACACATGGATCTTCCTAAGCACCACACTGTGTAAAAAAAAAAGAAGAAAAAAAAAGTTGCTGCCTTAAGTTTTAAAGTACAATCAACTTGGATGTTTAAGTCATTTCAACATAAATTACAAGTTGAATTTTGTATAACTAACTTTTTTTTTAAAAAGTTGAAAATTGCTTAACTTATATTGATGAGTTAAAGCAACCCAAAAACCCATGTTGTCATGACTTATTGACTTTTTTTTTTACAATTGAATATAATATAATTTAATATTTTTTTACAAATCTTTTTTTTAACAAGTTTTGATCATTTATCTGAGACATAGACTATCTCATATGTAGCCACATTTTGCACAAATGTGATGGTATTGCCAAATCTTTTTTCTTTTTTGCAGATTGTCAGGAAACACGACAAGTTCTTGATAGCCTATGTTTCCATCATATCATCCTGACATATTCAGCATGGGAACCATGAATTAAATTGGCTTTTTTATATTAAAAAGATATTTGTATTAATACCCCTATTTTCCTTAGGTGGGTCAAATACAAGTTTATTTTTCATTTTCCATATTTAACTATCTATATATTCAAATATAATAAAACGTTAGCTTAAATGTAAACTCATGTAAAGAGGAAAGGGCTCTACTTAGCTCTACTTAGCCCTATCGCCTAACGACTACAGCCCCATTGACTCCCTGTGCCAATGCATTGATGAAGTAAACAGTTGGATGTGCCAAAACTTTCTTCAGTTAAACAAAGACAAAACTGAAGTCATTGCGTTTGGAAACAAAGAGGAAGTTCTCAAGGTGGATGCATACCTTGACTCTAGGGGTCTAACAACTAAAAATCAAGTCAGGAATCTTGGTGTGTCTCTAGAGTCAGACCTTAGTTTCAGTAGTCATGTCAAAGCAATAACTAAATCAGCATACTATCACCTGAAAAATATTGCAAGAATTAGATTCTTTGTTTGCTATCAAGACTTAGAGAAACTTGTGCATGCTTTCATCACCAGCAGGGTGGATTATTGTAATGGACTCCTCACTGGCCTTCCTAAAAAGACCATAAGACAAGTTGCAGCTCATACAGAACGCTGCTGCCAGGATCCTGAGCAGAACCAGAAAATATGAACATATCACACCAGTCCTCAGGTCTTTACACTGGCTCCCAGTTACATTTAGGATTGATTTTAAAGTATTATTACTGGTATATAAATCATTTAATGGGCTAGGACCTCAATATATTGCAGATATGCTCACTGAATATAAACCTAACAGATCACTCAGATACCAAGGGTTCACGCATGGTGAGTCCGCTTTTAGCTACTATGCCAGCCGCAGCTGGAACCAGCTTCCAGAGGAGATCAGATGTGCTCCTACAGTATAGTCACATTCAAATCCAGACTCAAAACACATCTGTTTAGCTATGCATTTACTGAATGAGCACTGTGCCACTGCTCGTCCGACTGTTTTTACTGTACTTTATTTTATTTTTTCTTCTAAACTGTTTTAATTATTCTTATTTGTTTTGATTATTTTAATTTCTTTATTCTAACCTGTTTTAATTATTGTTATTTCTATTGATTTTTTTTTTCTTCTATGTAAAGCACTTTGAATTACCATTGTGTATGAAATGTGCTATATAAATAAAGAGAGAAAAAAGGGATCTCAAGGATACGGGGAGGCTATTCCGCCATAGGACCGACAACTGCAAAAGCACGATGACGATCCCCTTTCGACTTAAATCGTGAATGTGGCTGGGACAGATTATAACTGCTTGTGTGGACCGTAGACACATACCGGGCACGTTCAAAGTTAAAAGTTCAGATAGGTAAGAGGGTGCAAGACCATTTAAGGATTTGAAAACAAACAACATTTTAAAATCGACTCTATGACGCACCGGCAACCAGTTAAGAGACCAGTTAAGATCTTATGTTAATCCACATACATTGTGATTAAATAATGTATGCATAAGATGCATCTAATGTTATCCAACGCATCATAGGGCTAACTGTGATGGCCAGCACATGTGTGTAGCCCAATATGTCCAAGGTTGGTTCATTATTAATGTGTTAGTGTAGAGTTACTGCGCACCGTTGCCATGGCTGTGTTAGAAACCATGTCTTCTTTACGGTTGAGAAATGGTCATCACCATCGCCTGTAATGTGTCCTTTATGCGTTTGGCTCAAAACAGGAGTTCAGCACCATGGACAAGATCAACCAACAAACTCTTGGATCTGAATTTCATGAAGAAGATATAAAGTAGCCTAGCCTAAGTTTTCGCGCATGGTGCAAAGTGAAGATGGATGTGGAGAAACAGAACAGGCTGACTGTCATCAGAAGGCCTACAATAATTATATAGAGCCCGATTACTAAACAAGCAAGCTAATAATAAGTCATTTATTTTACTAATTTTACGCTACTAGTAACCGTATAGTGTCTTGATCAGGGGCACAATGATGATTGAACCCTCGTGTGGTTTGAACCAGCATCCTTTCAATCGCCAGCCCGGATATTTAACCACTAAACGAGAGCACCCGGACACCGACTGTGATGTTTAAGAAAATCAACGCAGTTTTCCGTCCGAACCATCTTGGGCCTCGCTCACGGGACAGGTTCAAGTCCAATGAGGATTACCACAGCGCGTGCACCGTGAAACTGGTTCGGAGCACGTCGATGCTCGTGGTCGGGGAGAGCAGTCGCGCGCAGCAGGACTCCACACTGAAGAGGAGCGTGAGCGCCGTGAGTGTCCATTCCAGCACGGCCCTGTACTACTACCAGAGTCGAGAGGACCGAGTATGGCTCTATTCCCAGAACCAGAACTGCTTAGAGTACTTACAGGAACTGGTCGCGCTCAGGCGTCAGTACACCAAGAGCATCAATGACCTCAACAACAGCGAGCGGAAAGAGACCGCGTCCCGCAAGAAGAACCCCGCACCTCGGCCACCGCAAAACAGAGCTGCACAGGTGAGATGCAACATGGCAATGTATATACTGTATGTTTAAGCCTTACGGAAGAAGCTGTGAACATTATTATAGGGCAAAGTAAGGTAAGTTGTGAAATCTATAGCCTGTTAAAGGGCCATAAACGTGTTCTTCATTTTTTCATCTGCGTTATAAAATGAAGATGCATTTTTTTTTTAAAGTTCAATCTTAGTGTGCATTATTTAGTTAAAGATATTCATAATATAACCATAATTAGAAGGTTTAATATTCCGAATATTTCAAAAGAGTAGGGATTAGGGAGAATGTTGTTCCTGCTTTGCAGTTCCCTAAAATGTGTGTGAATGCTAAAGGTTTAATTTAGTAAGGAAAATGTTTGATAATTCAGTGTGAAAAGTGGGATTGTGTGAAAAGGCTTTTAATTTTAAGGAGGTACAGTAGTTTTAGTTTGATCCTTTATCAGTAGTTCTAAGAATAACATGAAGAAACAACCTTGAAGAAACCTATGCTAAGGAAATACTGTTTGAATCAGTAATGCAACTTACAATCATAATACACACATCATCTTTTGTATTTCAAAGACTTCACGGCCTGAACCTTCTGCTCCACCAATCCCAAATGAGGAAGACACTCTCCAGTTCTTTGATGCAGTCATTGCAAGCTGTGACCCAGAACCCAGTCGAAAACCACATGTGGACAACGGGCATGCAGATGTGGACTTTATAGGTGTGTATGGATAAGACTATCTTTACATTCAAATTCTAGAATACTCCAAAGTACTCTAAAGGCAGCATGGAAGATGGAGTTGCGGGATGTTGTACTTTATAGATCTTAATAGAAAGTATATTTTACTTTTATATTGTACTTTGTGAACCTTCAGGAAACATCAAAAATCGAAAGTTTTGTTTTTTCCCTTAATGGTTCAGCCATCTGTTTTTTATTATTATTATTGTTTCATGTCTGATTCTATCCCTCCTCCAATTTTAATGTTTTCTAGTGGCAACCAGTACCAGTGAGCATGACCTTCACTCAAACTGGGTGCTTCGGGACCCTCGTCGAATCTCCATGACGGAGTCACAGCCCAAGAATTCAGATATCAGTCATGGGCAAGCAGCCCAGCGGAAGGGACACATGGGAAGCACATGCAGCAGGAGATGTCTGCAACGAAACCCTATCCACCTGCCAAAAGTGGTAGAGAGTGCCTTTCAGACTCTGCGCTTCAAACCCAAGCTCAAGAAGAAAGACTAGCTGCCTAATCAACACTGTTATTCCACTGTTTGTGCCCAGAGGACAACTGAATGCTCACTGTTGTGTGATCAAGAAGTTGGGCCTGGTAGAGGACGTGAGCTCTGTGACATGTCAGTGCTTACTCACTGCCCAAGCTTCATAAATAATCCACAGCAGATTAGAATCTCTTTTTCAGTAGCTTTCCATAGCAAACACTTAAGGCAATCAGCAGAGCGTGACCGTTCTGCTTGAAGTGGAACAATCATCCTACGCACTGATTCCAGACAGAGCAACTGGAATTTCCTTATCACAATTACTCAGATCTGAGGATCACCTATCTGATGAACCAGTCAGATCACCAGTAGCAGTTCCACCAGGAGTGTGTTCAGACCCGCAAGCCAGATAATCTGACATATGAATGATCCAAAACACATCAAGCCCAAGGGGCCAGGTATTTACTGCCTAGTTACGATAGGTGAGAAGACTTTATTAGCCAAATGCAAAACAACTTGACAACTAAAACAACATTAATACTAAAACTTTTTTACTGTATAGTCTTTCTTTGTATGACATCCCTCAAACTGGTAGTAGGTGTTTTTCGTTGGTATGTTTGTACGTTCTTTTTTTATTATTATTTATGATGATTTGTGATTATCTGCAAGTATGCTAAATCGTGTTAACTACATGAACTAGTTTAAGTTATGAATTTCTACTATTGAGACTGTTTTTTTTAGCATTAAAACCTATAAAGAGGAACTAAACACATGTGTTTGAATCCAGAGCTAAATAGGTCAGGTTTCTTTTTTTGAAAAAAGGAAGCAGGAATCGGGTATTACCCTTTCAGACTATAAAAATTAAACTCAAAATACCAACACCAAACCAGGTGCAAAGAGTGTTTATCAATAATAGAGAATAAAGTTGAAGGAAGTTAACAACATACAACTGAAGTTATCCTACATTATGGGCCAAAGAAGAATGTGTTATATTACATTACATACACTACTGTTCAAATTTCTGGGGTTAGTAAGATTTTTTCTAAATAATTTAATGCTATATTTAGAATTGTATTAAATTGATCAAAAGTCACAAAGGTTACATTATTACAACAAATTGCTATTTCAAATAAATGCTGTTATTTTGAACTTTTTATTCATAAAAAAATCCTGAAAAACCACAAAAATCTTGTGTCACAAAAAAACTGTTTTCAACACCGAGAATATGAAAAAAATCTTTAGCAGCAAATCAGCATATTATAAGGATCATGTGACACTGAAGACTGGAGTAATGGCTGCTAAAAATTCTGATTTGCATTACGGGAATTTTAAAATATATTAAAATGTAAAACAGTTGTTTTAAATTGTAATACTTTTCCCGCTATATTATGGTTCACTTTATTTTTTCCGATCAAATAAAGTCTTAGTGAGGATAAGAGATTTTCAAATACATAAACAAATCTTACCGACCACAAACTTTTGAACTGTATTGTATATCATTATCATATATCATATTGTATATCACAGCACATGGTGAAAAGCACAAAAAAAAATGAAATAGAGCAGAATTTATTTTCAAATAACTTTATTAACAAAAATGTTTTGACACACTCACAAACACTCAGTTCTTCTCTTGTTTGACTTTGGGACTGAAGAATGCTGCCACGCTCTTCATTCCAGTTTTGTCTACTTTGGCAAGACTCTTCTGAGCTGCAGTCATCTTCTTTGGTGGCTGAGATAACATAGACCATATTTAAAATATTACAATTATCAAAACTGTAGCACAGTAGCTAAAATTAATCAGAAAACATACATTTACAACCAATAATATTTGAAGCATGAACTGCTGAATGATTTTTTAAAGGCATAGACAGAGAGAAAAAGATAGTTTTGCAAGAGTGCGTCCTTCATTTTCTTTAAATGTTTGCATCATTAATCCCATCACCACATTGTTTGTTATTCTAACTCACTTTTCGTGCAAAATCACCACTGTTGAACTTGGTGTAGTCTTCTCCGGCCTCTACTGGTTTATCTGACAGTTTCCGTTTCTATCAAATGCAAGACAGCAGTCAGAAAAACCAGGCCACCAAAAGATCTTTTTGAATCAAAGTGAACTGCTACACCCATTCCACTAACTGCATTCAAAAACAAAGCATTTATGATGCTTCTTGAAGCAATGACAAAAGCTGACTGAGTTTGAGAAGAAATAGAATTCAGAAAACAAATCACAACACAATTACAAGCAGATATGGTTAACATTGCATAAAATCAGGTAAAGCGAGACCAGACATAATTTAAATATTAAAATTCAAGCATGGCGGTAACATGAAAATATTTGGGATTTCAAGCAGTAAGATTACCTTAGAAGGTGGCTCTGTCTCTTTAGGGCTGGATATCTCTGGCAACCTTGTAACATGAGAGACTAAATGTGACTATGGATAACAAGGTAAAAATGTGAATGACAGTCTGGCAATGTTGTTTGTGAGGACAACTTTGTAAGGTTATGTGAACGTTGAGTGCATGAAAACACATGTATGTGTACATACTGCAAATACTTGAGGAGATCTTTGCTCAGGTCTTCACTAATGTACTCTGATATGAGACCATGTGCGTAACGGAGGTAGTCCTCTAAAAGGATAACAAATACCATTACATTAGCAACACAATGCATACAAGCATGATCCTGTTTACCACTATTTATTCATCCTTTTCTTTACCTTCAGTAGCATCTTCCTGTTTGACTCTGACAAATGTGCTGGACTTCACTCCTCCACCCACAGATGTGTTGCTCTTTTTGAGTGTGCTTACTGTCTGCTGAACCTGAAAGAATTTTTCAAAATTCCTTTCAAATAGGGTTAAGGTTAGGATGAAAATTCTTATTATTGAAATTAGGGCTGTCAGAAATGATTATTTTGGTAATCGAGTAATCAGTCGATTATTTTGACGAGTAATTGAGTAATCGGATATTTTTGTGGTAATAAAAATACACCTAAGCAAAGACCTAAGCCTTTAAAATGACTCAAAATACATGTATAATAACAATGAGGCAATAATATTTGGTTCAAATAAAGTATCAAAAGCAAGTGAACATATGGTTTTATATAACAAAATAATCATCTTATAAATGCTACAGCCACTAATTTCTTGAAAAAGAATGTGGTCATCAAAACATGCAAACTCAGAGCGAGGGTTTAAACTTTTATTTTGAAATAGCGATGGAGAGTTTGCATATTTAGAAACATATTGATGTATTCTCCTGTGTTGGCTTACCTTACAAATCTGATGAAATGGCACTCTCACATTGCGTTCTCAGATGAACGTTATAAGCAACCCAAACTCAAAGCATATATATATATATATAGATATATTAAACCCACAAGGCATATATTTATTTAATTGATTCAAATCCTTTGTGTGTGTGTTTATATATATATAAACTCAGCAAAAAAAGAAATGTCCCTTTTTCAGGACTGTGTATTTCAACAATAATGTTGTACAAATCCAAATAACTTTACAGATCTTAATTTTAAAGGGTTTAAACAATGTTTTTCATGCATGTTCAATTAACCATAATCAATTAATTAACATGCACCTGTGGAATGGTCGTGAAGACCTTAACAGCTTACAGAGAGTAGGCATTTAAGGTCACAGTTCTAAAAACGCAGGACACTAAAGAGACTTGTCTCCCGACTGTGAAAAACACCCAAAGAAAGATGCCCAAGGTCCCTGCTCATCTGCGGGAACGTGCATTAGGCATGCTGCAGGGAGGCATGTGGACTGCTGATGTGGCCAGGGCAATAAATTGCCATGTCCGCACTGTGAGACGCCTAAGACAGCACTACAGGGAGACAGGAAGGACATCTGATCATCCTCGCAGTGGAAGACCACGTGTAACAACACCTGCACAGGATCGGTACACCCGAATATCACACCTGCGTGACAGGTACAGGATGGCCACAACAACTGCCCGAGTCACACCAGGAACACACAATCCCTCCATCAGTGCTCAGACTGTCCGCAATAGGCTGAGAGAGGCTGGACTGAGGGTTTGTAGGCCTGTTGTGGCAGGTCCTTACCAGACATCACCAGCAACAACGCCGCCTATGGGCACAAACCCACCTTCGCTGGACCAGACAGCAGTGGCAAAAAGCGCTCTTCACTGATGAGTCACTGTTTTGTCTCACCAGGGGTGATGGACGGATTCTTGTTTATCGTCGAAGGAATGAGCATTACACCGTGGCCTGTACCCTGGAGCGGGATCGATTTGGAGGTGGGGGGTCCGTCATGGTCTGGGGCGGTATATCACATCACCATCGGACTGAACTTGTTGTCATTGCAGGCAATCTCAATGCCTTGCGGTACAGGGAAGACATCCTCCTCCCTCATGTGGTACCCTTTATGCATGCTCATCCGGACATGATCCTCCAGCAGGACAATGCCACCAGCCATTCTGCTCATTCTGTGCGTGAGTTTCTGCATGGCAGCAATGTCAGTGTTCTGGCATGGCCAGCGAAGAGCCCGGATCTCAATCCCATTGAGCACGTCTGGGACCTGTTGGATCGCAGCGTGAGTGCTAGAGCCATTCCCCCCAGAAATGTCCAGGAACTTGCGAGTGCCTTGGTGGAAGAGGTGGGTAACATCTCACAGCAAGAACTGATAAATCTGGTCCAGTCCATGAGGAGGAGATGCCCTGCAGTACTTCAAGCAGCTGGTGGCCACACCAGATACTGACTGGTACTTTTGATTTTGAGCCTCCCTTCATTCAGGGACATATTATTCCATTTCTGTTAGTCACATGTTTGTGAAACATTTTTAGTTTATGTCTTATGGTGTTGACTCTTTTAGTGTTCATACAAATATTTACACACATTAAGTTTACTGAAAGTAAAAACAGTTGAAAGAGGACGTTTCTTTTTTTGCTGAGTTTATATATATATATATATATTTGTTTATTTAACTGAATCGCAGTCTTTGTGAATTCAAAACTGGCACTATGCTATAGTATTGAGTTTTACATTGTGTAGCCTCTAATGGGGTTTTATATTATAAAAGTTAAAAATTGCTTGAACCTTTTTCTTAAGCCACTCCAAGGTCTTCTCATGGTTATATCTGTGAAACTTCTGACCACCACCCTCTGCAAAAAGGATTAAATTTATATATGTGGCACACAATTTGGACATCATACTGTATCTGTACATGATCTGGCACTATACATGCCTACAGACTCACACACCTTTCTCATCAGCCACATGATGAAGGGAGTCTACTCCCTGTTTGCATTGCAGAAGTCTTGTGCATCCAGGGTAATCCTCATCCATCACCATCTGCTTCACCGGTTGGAACTTTCCCTATGAAAAGAGTGCTAGCTTACTCGTGAAGCTCATGTGAACAACAGACTGACTTTTACTATCATATTTGCATGTCAACTAATCGTTTACCTCGGTGGCGACACTGCTAATGTATGGCAAAAGCAGAAATAAAGGATCAATGGAAGTCACATACAGCAGTCTACCATCTGAGGACACAGGAATAGAAGAGCTGTTAGTTCACTTAAATGGCATCAGCAATTTACTAGACAACTAGTACATGTTGAATGGATAGTTCACTTTCTGTAAGGTGAGCTTACCTCTTTGCACTGTCTGTCCAATAAACCAAGATCGAAAGTCTTCAGAAAAGGCTTTAACTTCATAAACACTGATATCACCACAGCTAAATAGGTACAGCGAAGAACTTCCTGCACTCACAATGACAGAACTGTCAGTCAGTTTTAGTTTATTATAGCTGATAGACAGGATGACTAAATAAGTTATATATCCACTAAACTGTAAGTTGCAGTTGATTAAATTATTGTAACACTAAAAGCCACCTGTAGCAGGATTCTTTAGTTTGATGAAGGATGGATCACTGTCTTCGGATCTGCCTGTGTCCAGTGCTGAATCTGAAAGTGAAGGAAGGGTCAGCACATGCCACAAAACTCAATTAAATGTGGATTTGTCAACTGCATAACAGAACTGCATGTAGATTTAGGTGGGCTAAAAGGGTAACTTACACTCACGCCAACGTTGACATTAATAATGCACACTTAAACATTTTTTTTATATAATAATAAAGCAACTGAAAACTGTGTATACAACTTTTCTCAAAGTACAAGTGTGTAACTTAGCATGGAACACAGTGTAAATTTAGTAAATGTACCTGGAGCAATGACAACCCAGCTGTCGTTGTCGGTGTGCGCAGAGCGTTTCTTTTTAGTGGTCATTTCAAGGGTTGAGTTAAAACGTTAAACTGTAACAACCGGTTTTCTGATATGTATAATGTAAACGCGCAAGACCGGTGAGTAATGTTCTGCCTCTAGAAAAATGGCGGCAAATATTTGTGTTCAGTTCAAATAGGTGTGTGAAACATACAAGATTTATGTTTCATAAATATAACATAATAGCTTGGCTGCGCAACATAATATATTTCTCAAAAGTAAGTAAAAAATAAACATTATTCTAAATGTCTAACAAATGTGAAGACAGAACAACACCTCATTTGAAATAGCGTCTACACAGCCACCCCTCTCTCAAAATGGTACAGTCTTCAAGAATTCCTTAAAGATATAGTAGCACATTTTTAAGCATCATTAAAAATACAGTTGTAAGATATTTCTCGATATTCTTCACATATTTAGTAATTATTTTGTATATATAATTTGTAATATGCTATTTATTTAAAAGTCATCTGCCTGTCGCATAACTACTGATTTACAATCTATGTAATCTATAGCCTTAAAATGACTAAATTATATAAATGCATAATTTTACCGTTTGTACTGGAACAAAACAGAAGACAAAAAATAGTTTATGTATAAAGAACATAAATTAATCTGTTTAACTTTGCCACAAAACTCAAAAAGAAAAAATTACATGGACTGCTTTATATTAAACTGAGAGGGGTCATAGCACTTGCATATTGTTGTCCTACTGTTAGTTTAACTGCTTCTATTGTTCTCATTTGTAAGTCGCTTTGGATAAAAGCGTCTGCTAAATGAATAAATGTAAATGTAAAATGTACTTTGGGTACAGCCTTCTGGTTGTTCTGTGTGAACTATTACAATTTATAATGTTTTATAAATGTTTAGAAAACTTAAATTAAATGAAGAAATGAAGAAATTAGTGACAATATAATGTCGTGATTTTGACAAAATCAAATAAATAAAATAAATAACAAAAAAGTTAAAACATTTTGTTTCTACATTATTTAAAAGCAGGTTAGGAGGTGTGACATGGGTTGAAAACCCTTTAGCCTATACCACCTTTTGTATCCCCAGTCAAAAATGACCAGCCTTTTAAAAATTGCTTGTAAATCGCTCGTTATGCAATATTTTCACCAAATATTGGATTCAATCTTTTCGTCAACTTGTTTTGTTTCAGTTAGGACAACTAGGTTTTGTATTTATTTTTGGAACTGATTGATCATAGCTTTTGCACCTCAGTTTTTGAGTGAAAAAACGTTTTATTTGTGGATACTTTTGTCAATATTCATCAATGGATAAAATTGCACTCTAGTGTGCTTTAATATTTCACCAGGAAGTTTGTTTTAAAATGCTTTTATTTTGTACAAAATGGCAGTCATACTTGTGGTGTTGCAGGCAAAAATGACTATAGCCTACAAAAAAATAGCTTATTTTTATCAACTTATTTTCTTTCAATTAGGACATTTTGTGTATAGGCCTCATTGATCTGAGGATAAAGTTAATCTCTGTGAAAAAAAAAAGCCTTTGATTCTCAAAATAGTTTTCTGTATACATGAACATGTGTGTGTCTGTGCGCGGTAGTGCGAGTGTCCATGTATCCACACATGCACAGGTCCGAAGCCTTTATCTTTGCAAGCTATCATGTATGTGAACACGAACAGGATGAACATGTTCCTTAACACTAAATGATTCTCTTTTTTTCAGTCTCCCCAATGGATGGTCATTTTTGACCAATATAAGCTCAGATCAATGAGGCCTACAATCAATCAGTTAAAAAAATAAATACAAAACCTGTCCTAACTGAAAGACAACAAGGTGACAAAAAATAGGGGGTCACAAAAAAAGAACAAAAATTCTCAACAAAAGAAAATTGGAGAAGCAGTGATACGCTGGGTGAGTAAAGCCATGCAGTGGCCTAAGTTTTAGTCCAATGCGATAATGTTAACTAGCATTTTCGGGGAAAAGAAAATCATCCCCGGATCAAAATGACCTGAAAACAACATGGGGGTTAATCCATGTTTCAAAAATTGATGACCAATAGACAACACTTTTAATATATTCAACAAATTTCAGCACAAAAGATCAAAACTCAAACTAAACATAGGCCTACCAACCTCTATACAAAATGTATGTTTCTATAAGTCACCTCAAGATGGCGCCAGTATCTTGAAAATGCATAATGTAACTCCCTCAGGCTGAATTCACCTAGCACTGCTGATTATCTGCTGGAAAGTTCTAGACATTGTTTCAAGAAATCATAATGATCTTATTCTCACGTCTTCTCAGTCACATTGAACAAAGCTTTACTGGCTACATATTTCAATAAAATATCAAAGAATTCAAACATAGCCTACAAATGTTTTAGACAGGAATTAAATGAAAATGGTAAAAGTAAAATAATTTACAATAAATCAAATGCTAAAAAATAGAACAGAGATATGGTTTACATAATGCCAATAACTAAGTGTGAGTGTGTTACAGTATGTGTTTGAGAACTGTCCATGAGACTATCTCCTCTCTTTTATTATTTTTTCCCCATTTGGTTTTCAGGATCTTAGAACACCTACATCTATTCGTAGAGTCTGTCAGCCGACAGACATGTTAACATGTCACTTGGTTCAGAATGTGACTCAGCTTAGCATTTCTAATGATTCCCTCTTTTTTCATGTCTCACTTTATATTGTGAGAGCAAAGGAAATGTGTCTTTTTACATGTTTGTCACTCATTAAAATAACTAACCAAGACATGCATTGACACAATATGGGTATGCATTCATGTGTTGCTGGTTGAGAATCAGGGACCCCCTGTTCTGCCATAAGTCTGTGGTATTCAGGTCAGCAAGGTCTGCTGAGCAAGGACATGGTGGAGGGGGAGCAGGGGCTCCAGGACATCCCAGCTGTACAAGAAATTAACCATTGAATAAGAAAAGAGAAGTTTATTTTATGGCAAAGTCAGTTGTCATATGTTATGCTCCAATCCTTTTTAATCAAAAGGTCCATCACAGTTTAGTTTTGAAAAAATAATATTTTAACACCATATGATTTCTTAATATTCTAAAATATTATGCTGATTAACATGTCTTTAACAACAATAATCTGTCTATAAGATACTCTAATAGTGAAGATTGTTCCCTCTCATCCACTGCTCATTTATCTTTCTTCCACAGACACCATTCGCCTATTGAGAAACTTAATTTGTGTTGTAGGCTAAGAGAGGCAGACAACGTAATCTGGTTGGAAAAAAACTTCAAGTCATGCACACAGTGACATTTCCAGCTCAGACTCGTTCTCCACATCTGACTTGTTGCTCTGTTTTATAAACTGGTTGATGGAGGCGCAGATCAGAATAACGATTGTTATTTTGCATCTGAGCCTTACCTCCTCCCACACACATGCAAAATTAAGCAAACAGCAAACCCATCTTGCATTTTACAGGGGACTTGTTTTTAGTTTTATTCTTGCATAGGCTACACACGAACACACACTCAGGAGGGAGATGCATGTAGCCTACACCAGCACATCAGTCTAAACTGGGTTGAGCCGTGCAATCTTATCGCTCATCATCAACTAAAAGTCACGCGCTAACTTGTCTTGTTCTAATGTGTGGATTAGGCTATGTAAACTACCTGTGGTCCATCTGAATTTATAGCACGATGGGCAACCTATAAAGATGCGATGCATAAAATGACCACCAATCGTCGTTCATTTTCATTTTCGATGAAGACGATGAAAATATAGTGTTTTGACATTAGGAGCTTTGATGAGTCAAACAGAGCGCAATCTATCAGATAACATCTAAGTTTTAACTAATTGGTCGTAAAAAAAATCGCGATTATAATGCGAACTAGCGTTTTAGTTTCAGTGTAAAATGTAATCGTGAAGGTAGCTATATGATTTAGCAGCCTATCACGCTTGAGGAAAAAGTCTGAGGCGTCCGTGATAATAAAATCAAATTAATTTTGTCAATATAATCTTAACCTTATTGTGTAATAACAATGCTGTAAAAGTAACAAAGCTATTATATATAAACTGTGTGCCATTTTACAAAATGTAGCCTATAGCCTATTTAAATCACATAATCCGCGTTTTTAAATAAGCAGCTTTACAAAATGGATGTGGTGATGGATTTATGTATTTTCATACATGAAAATTGTTTGTGAAAAATTTTAATTTTCACATTTTGAAACTAGGCTATAGGAGCTAGTAACTGAAGGACACGAAGAAATTCGTTAGCCATTCGTACATGCAGCTTGTTTGGTTAATAGGCTAAATTAATTAGTCGAATGAATTAATTCGTTGTTCTACATTTTCATTTGTTCATTTGTGTTGTTGAAATCCGAGAATTATGCTTTTCTTTAGTAGAGAGACTATTTTATTGCTTTAAACTTTTTTTGTGTGTGCAATTTTTCATGTTTCATTACGTTACGTCTCGAGTCGTTGTGAAATACCAGCAGATTGATTGATTGTGTTTGGAATTGGTCAAGATGCTTTGATTCATCACTAAAAGAACGATAATAATAACGAAATCAGGCAATATCTGAATGTTTTCACTGATGAACGGCATATATATTAAATCAATTAGCCTGAATTGTTTAGGTGATTGTTATTTTATTAGATTACGTGCTATTTTGATGGATAGGGTACCTGTTTATATATTTTACTAAATCCTAAAATCACTTTACAGCCACGTGATAATCGTCCGCCTGTATGGCTATTTGCTCGTTGAGGGTGAGAGGAAGGTTGGAAAATGCTGAAAACCTCACCTCAGCTGTGTCAATAGGCCGTGTGTTTTTCCTTGTTATAAATAGCCCCACTTTCAAATTAACTTCCTAAACGCCACGTGCCATCCAAAATAAAACTATTCAAATAAAATATTCACATTGTAAGCAATATTTTGCATGAATTAGTTGTACGAATCCCATAGTTTACAGCAGCTGGATTACTTTTAACCCTAAAGTCAATGTCTTTGTATAACCATAAAGTTGTGTTTTAATAAGTGCATTTTGACACAAAACAAAAAATAGGCCTACTTAAAGGTGAAAAGTGCTTTTGCCTCGGAAAAAACATGTAAT